TGTGGAAACTTTTGATACCCTGATTGTTTAAATAAAAGTTATACAAAATAATTAATTTTGATTGAATTGTTGTGAGCTATGAAAAGTCAATGAAGCTAGAGTTTGTTGAGATTTCCAAAAATATTCCAGAGACATTTTTGATTTATAATTTAAGTCTCATTTAACCTAGAAATCATACTACCCTCTTCAAGGGTATAAAAAGAGCAGACAAATTTGAATAGTTTCTCCCCACCCTCCTTCGGCAGAAGGCAACAAATTAAGGCAGCAATAAATAACAAATCAAAAAGAAATGACCAAAAAAAATCAAATAAAAACCAAAGAAGACTCAAGAAACAACGAACGAAAAAAAAATGCTGCCGAAGAATTGGGTCAGTAACACGCCAAAAAAAAAGGCAAAGCATAAGAAGCAGCAGAGAGGAGCAGGCAGCACCGCACTCACACGAAACGCAAGAGAAAGATAAGAAGAAGAGAAGGAGCAGAAACAGCAGCAACAACAACCACAGTAAGAAAAAGAAACACTGGAATGGATAGGTGGTGGGACCGTCAGAGAGGCAGAAAGAAAAGCAAAAACAAAAGCAAGCAATAAAAAAAGTCAATTGAGCGTGGTCATAGCTAGAAATAACAAACAAAAATTCACATAAATAACAGGTTACGAGTACGAAATACCATCTAGTTATGTGTAATTTGGTAGTGAGAGGAAAGTGATGACAGAACGGGTTAAAAATAGTTCTTTATTAAATGCTGGCTTACTTTATTCTGGGTGCTATACTTGACCTATTAACAGAAACTTAGAAATACCCTCGATCAAAAATAGGTAACACACATTTCATGACCACAACAACATGCCCTTGTAATCCACGCTGAGCACAGGGTACCATAAGAATGACGCGACAATCCAAAAGCAAATACAAAGAGAGCATCAGGGCAGGAGGAATTTATTGTCAAACGTTTTAGGAAGTTCAACAAAAGCGCAAAAAAGCAATAATAAACAACCAAAACATTAATTAAAACAGAACAGAACATCAAATAAATTGCACAAAATTCGTGACCCAATTCTTTTAAATGATTTTGTTTTCTATTCATCTTCTATTTATGTATATTGAAATTTGTAAACGGCAAACGGCGCTGTCGTCACAGACGACGACTGCGGTAGGGCAGAAGCAGCAGCGGCAGCGTCAATGAACTCTGCAGGCCCGGCCCTTACGATATCCATTATACGATATGCGCACACACACTTCCATACGCATGTACATGTGTACGATCATCTGTTTTATTTGGCAACTTGTTTAATATCGGTCAATGAATTCCACCACAACAAAAGCAGCAGAAATATTTAATACAAAAAGCAAACGAGATAAGAATTTCAAAAATGTTTCTTTCGATTGCGTGCGACACGATACACGCACACACACGGAAACAAGAAAAGAACAATAATGTGGCTTAGAGAGCCGAAGTTGTGTATACACTTGCAGATTCATTGTTGCCATTAATCATTAATCAAAGTCTTGCAATTCCAATCATATTGAAACAAAAACATAGGTAAATGTAGAACACACTTCCTCCTCCGCCGCCAAACGCCTTCTTCGCATCAAAGTACTTTTTCTTAAGTGTATTTTAATCAACAAATCCGCACACCACGCACACACACTAACCCAGTGGCACAGGGTCTCGTCTCTGTATGCAATGCCAAACTTTCACGTAATTCTTGCGTTGTTTTCTTTCCTCACCTCCACCGAGCTACCTTTCTCTTTCACACTCTTTCCTCTACCCCCCCCTTCTCTCTTTCACACGCTTTCCAGCTGTCCGTCTCCCGCTTCCAGACTGTGTGTGAATTATATTATTTTGTGTGTGTGTGTTTGTGTGTTTTTTTTTGCGTCTGTTTTGCTTGTTGTAAAAGTCAATAACCTTTTCGCGTATTCAAGAAGCCAGTTCCAGTTCCTCCATGAAGCGTTCCCCCAAAAGAAACCCCAGCAACAACAATAAACAAAACAAAACACAACAAAAATATAAGACTTAATTCAGAGTTAGTTTCTTCTCAGATTTGATGCTTCTGCTGGCCTTAATCAAGAGTCGAAATCGCATCAAGAGAGAAATGGCATCATAGTTGGGTTAAGTAAATTGATAGCCGGTTACTTGGTCAGTAAGGGTTCTTGGCCCCAAGTGGAGATTCGGTCAGCGTACGCTAATTACGTAAATTATGGTGTTGGCCCAAAAGTTTTGTGGTAGGTGTGTGCCATAGGGAAGTGGAGTGGGTTTCGTGGTGATTTTCGTGTCGAAAAGATGAGAGAGGTGATTCTTTAATGGATTGTGTAATTGATTAAGCTCTTGTAAGAAGTATATCAAAAATACTTTGAGCTGAAAATGTAAGAAAAACAATCCTTTAAAAACATTTCTTAACCTTATATCGGTCTGTGGGGCACCACAATGCTAATTAAATATGGAAACTAGGAAGTCGAAAAACCTCAGGAAATCTTTAACCCATCGCAAATGAAATTCTTTCTTCTACACAAAGTGACATTCAAGTTTTGTGCTGATGTCCAGGGGCTACTATTTGAGACCAGGCCTACGTGCTCTTTGGCACACAATCCGACAATTTGGGTCCGTCTCAAATGTCGTTTTCAAATTAAAAGAAAGTCAAATTGTGGGAGGAAAAGAAACCAAAGAAATTAAAACCACTTGTCCCAAGGCAATAAACACTACCATGCTGATGAAAACAGTTTCTCCCCCACTAAAAGCTACGAATGAGCCAAAGAGTTCATGTGAAATGACCCCCAGTGATGTCACGTGTTCCGCCAGCTGAGGTACAAAAATTGGTTGTTCTTTGCGAAATATTCACATTCAATTGGGATTTGTGCCATGTGAGGGCCATAATACAAATGGGTCAGGCCTGAACAATGGGAATACTCGGTACACTCGTAGTATGAGTCAGAATGGGATTTTTCAAACCAGAATGTGGGAATGCAGAACGTTGGCGTAAAGTTCAAAAGTTTTACTCAAAGGAGTAGATGGAAAGTGCCGGGGGAAATCTTTAACTGTCCTGGGCTTTGGCCGAAGCCGACATACATTTTGAACACATTTTCCATTCGACTTTGGAAAGTTAGTTTGATGGCTAAATTTCTTTTTGTTTTGCATCTACGTCAAGCGTCTGGTCCACGAGCGAAAGTATTCAACTTTGAACGTCGAAAAAACAAAACATAACAAAATACGAGCAGAAAACTCTTAAAACCAAAACTTTGTTTGTGTGTGAGGTGAAATTAATTTTGTTAAAATAAACTTAAAATTATTAAACCAAAAAAAAAAAATGCTAAATAAAATGAAGTAAGAGCTCTATAGCCGTTATTCAGACTTTAAGGACTCCACTACTAAGGTGTTTGTCATGGGATACAAAGGATACGGACTGACTTGTATCACTAAGCAAACAACTGAGTTGTTGAGTTATTTGCCTAGTGCTTGTATGCAACATGCCAAGGTGAAAGAGATTTGAAAGGTTTTTATTTTCCTAACTGGCTCTCTGACAGGCAGACACACCAGAGGATATTTTCTTGAACAGCTTCCTTTTAGGTGCCTGCAAAAGCATTCCACAGTGCCCTTCCTACAAGTAGAGGGTACAATACAACTTTTTCCTCGCATACTTTGCATGCAGCCTGGTGTGCCGCGCGTTGTCGTCTTCTCTCTCCCGAAGCTGACTGCATTGACCCCCACTTGGGCATGACGTCTCATTCTCATTCTCTGTCGGTGTTCTTGTTGCTATTGCTGCTGTCACCGGCTCTCCCTCGCACTCACGCACAGTGCGGTTCAATGCACTCGACGTGGCTCTCTATTTACTTTAGGCGCCTACCCACCGACGGAGGAGTCAATCAAAAATCTACATATCTGTATAATTTGGAAATTAAAATGTTTGTTAGGAATAATTTGATGATGCTGCTTCTGATACTGATTTTTGATCTGATTTCTGATCCAGAAATAGATGTTATAACCATAACGGTGTTATCTATAGTTTCTCTCTCTTTTTCGAATGTTTTTCAGCTTTAACTTTCGGCTAAAGAAAATATTTAAATAAATTTGATAGGTACACAAACAAACGAAACAACCAAAACAACAGAAACAGCAGCAGCAGTAGCATGGCTGGCAAGAGAAAAGAAGAGAGAACTGGCGCACCATGCAAGTCCGTCCGTCTGCAGAGGCTATTGACTCTGTCGGCCCACTGTGTGCGCTTGTGTGTGTAGTAGGAGTGAAGTCAAAGCATTGACCGAGAGTCAGGGCAAAAGGAAATAAGCAAGATTGAATGGTCAATATGTAGACGAGAAGTTACCCTCTAGTTGGATGTAGAAGGTGCATGCTAGCCAATAAACGTCCACGCAATGCGAGAAGAGCAAATATAATTTATGGTTTATTTGATTTTATTTCATTTTATGCATGTACAATGTACATAGTACAAATTCCTCTACGCTGGTTCATCATTGTATCCAAGACAATATGCCCTTGCTCTCCCACGACTACAGGGTACAATCAGAGAGCACGCACAGCTCCCCCTCCCACTCTAAGATCACGCTCTCTTTACGCGCCTCTCAGTATGGGTGCGTATGTGAGTGAGGGAGAGTGATAATGCGACCGCCACACATGTGATATTTCCGATAACAGTTGACAGTGAGACGACTCTGGCTTGGTTTTGAGAGTTGTAGATGGTGGGGGGGGGGAGGGGGGAAGGGGTGCCTGTGCTCTCTGATCCACTCTTTTGAAAGGGGAGACGAGCCGGGAGAACTTTTGTTGCATTGATTTAACTTTTGCCTGTCAGCGGCAGCAGGGTACTTTGACTTTTGTACGGACATGACAGGCACAAAGGATTTGTATCCGCTTGCGGAAAACTTCCCAAAATACATACTGCACTTGAACGATAAGGATAAGATAATTGCAGTAAAACAAATCTGATATGAAACAAATATAGCACATAATTTTCCACCTCAATAACTTACTATAATTTTCTTTGATTTCCATTTCAGTGGCACGCCAGCATCTTTGGCTTATCCCTTTATGAGTGGTCCGACACCGAATGTCCCAGCAGCCGGTGGGCCACAACAGCAGCCACAGCATCAGCAAGCCACTCCACCCACGCTACAGTTAACCTTTCAGAATCTGAACGTCTTGCACAACGAACGCAAAATACTTTCCGATGTGAGTGGATTTGTCAGGTAACAGAAACAAGAGCAAGCCATCAAGTAAACACACAATACAATAAACTGGAAGAAAGCCAACTACGGCAAGCCGAAGTTTATATACCCTTGCTAGAGAATAGGATAATAATACTCAAATTTTAATTGCATATAAAAGTTATGAGATATTCAGAAGAAGATTTTGTATTGATGATCACTCCGTGTGTTACCAACATTTGAAAAAAATTTAAAGTACAGTAAATAACAACCTGCAAGGGTATATAAAACCAGAACAAGAACTACAGACCCAGTGAACCAATGAACTAACCGTAATCTCTCATGCTTGCATGCTTCTTCGCTGGGCTCGCTCTCTCTCTCTCCCGCGCTCTCCCTCTCTCTTTGCAGTCCCTGCGAGGTGCTTGCCGTTATGGGGCCCTCGGGCAGCGGGAAGACCACGCTGCTAGACTGCCTCAGCGGACAGCGGCACATTGACAGCGGCAGCGTCTTCCTCAACCGCGAGCCGCTCTCCAAGAAGTGGCGTCGCAGGATCGGCTATGTACTGCAGGAGGAGATCTTTTTTCCGCAACTTACGCTCAGGGAGACGGTGGTGTACACGGCGCTGTTGCGTCTGCCCGAGTCCATGCCGCGGGCGGAGAAGATGCGCCAAGTGGATCACATACTGGAGGCACTGGAGTTGGGCTGCTGCCAGCAGACGCGTTTCGGGGACTACATGAATCGAGGTCTTTCCGGCGGTGAGAAGAAGCGCGCCAACATAGCCTGCGAGCTGCTGACAAATCCGTTGCTCATGCTCTTGGATGTAAGTGCAGCTCTCTTCAACTCTCAATGGCACTCTCTCTCTTAAACTAAACGGTACTCCCTCTTTCTCTTAGGAGCCCACCTCTGGACTGGACAGCCACTCGGCCATTTCGCTAATGAAGGTGCTCAAACGGTACGCACAGCTGGAGCAAAAGACAATTGTGATAAGTGTGCACCAGCCCTCGTCGCAGATGTTCCACATGTTCGACAAGTTGCTGCTGCTGCATCAGGGCCGCACCGCCTACTTTGGAGATGTGCACAATATTTACCGACATTTCGAGGATATTGGTGTAACCATCAAACCACACTACAATCCTGCTGACTTTGTCTGTAAGTAATCAGAATACACTCTGGGTATTACGTGAAATTTAACCACATTTTCCATGCTGCTTGCAGTGGAGCAACTGAAGTCCCATCCAGATATACGCGAGAAGCTGTTCGTAGCCGCCAAGGAATCTCATGGCAACTATTTGAACCGCAATTGCATTACCAGCAGCCACCATACCAGTGGAGAGCCCAAGGCCAAGAAGCAGCCGGATAGCATATTAATCGATGATATAATCAACAACTACTACAACCAGCATCATCATCATCTGCACCAGCCCCACCATCATCATCATCATCATCACAACCATCACCATCACCAGTACGAAAACTTACATCACACAAGCAGTGGCTGTCAGGTGGAGGAGGATGAGGAGGCAGCTCAACACTTGGTCTGGTGCGGAGCCGACTCGCAGTCAAACTTCAGTTCCTGCGCCTCCAGCGACTGTCATTCGTATAGTGCGGGCAGCGTACCGAATCATAATGGGGATGAGGACTGGCTGTCGTATCCCACAAGCTTTCACACCCAATTCTGTGTCCTGTCCAGCCGCAACTTCAAGGAGGCCAAGCCCCGAATGCTCTCCAAGCTCAATTGGTTCCAGACAATCGGTCTGGCGCTGATGGCGGGCGCCATTTGGTTCCAACTGCCCCGCACCGAGGAGTTTCTGCACGACCTGCAGGGCTGGATGTTCTTTTCGCAGACCTACTGGATGCTTTTTGCTCTGTTCGGTGCCCTCAATTCATGTGAGTTGTGCTGGTAGCTGGTTGCTGGCCTGCCTGCCTTCAATTTGAATCTACTTTGTATGCTTAATGAATCCTTTCTCGACAGTCCCCTCGGAGCGTGAGGTCATCAGCAAGGAGCGACGTTCGGGCGCCTACCGCCTCTCCGCCTACTATCTGGCCAAAATGTGTGCCGAACTGCCTTTGGTGGTCACGCTGCCCACTGTCTACCTCATGATAAGCTATCCCATGCTGGGCTGTACAAGGCAAGTGTTTGACATCGGCCCTAAGGAAGCAGCAAAATCTAATTTTAGCCTTCCATTTACAGCCTTAAACTGTTCTTCCTGATGCTCATCTTTCTGCTCATCAACACGATTGTGGCACAGAGCGTGGGCTTCTTTATTGGCGCCTGTTGCATGGACATGAATGTGAGCATTACGCTCAGTGCTCTCTACACGCTGGCCACCCAGCTCTTTGGCGGCTATCTGTCGTCACGCATTCCGGAGGGCCTCAGCTGGATACGCTACACGTCCATGATCCATTATGCCTATCAGAATATGCAGATATTGGAGTTTCGGGAGGGTCCAGCTGTTAGGTGAGCGTCCAGCCTGTTGCCATTGATTTCCTTTATTCATTCTCTCTGATGTCCTGCAGGTGCGGTACGCCTAGTAGCTATGAGATATGCAAACAGCAGACAACCGAATTCATTCCATATGAGGAAATACTCAAAGCACAAAATTCGACATCACCGCTCTGGCTGAACACGCTCATACTGATGATGTTCTTTCTGGTGTTCCGCTGTCTGGGCTATGCGGTGCTGCGCTACCTGCGTTGCCCCAAAAAGACGTGATATCCATGGGAGGATACAGCGAGAGAGAGCACGAGCACCGAGGAGGTGGAACCCCCAGTGATACGTTGCTCGTTGCAAATTGTTGTCTGCTAAAGTGCGCCAATTATGTGATTCAGTTTACTTTTCAAGCCACACACACACACCATTTATTATTACCTACTATTATTATTATTCCCCCCAAACTATTATTATTACTATTATTATTGTAGTAGCTAGAGGATAGCCAGGAGCCGTCGCGTATCTGTAAACGGAAATCTTTGTTTTGTTTTATGCCTTTTAATTGTTGGCCGTTCAAATTACAATTCGCTGCAGCAACCATAGGGAGAGAGAGAGAGCGGAGTGTGAAGAGAGTATATTTTAATGTACGTTTTAAAGTACCCCCCGCGCGCATATCTGGCCAATTATCCACATACATAAATATTAATTGTAAATTTAATATGAACGCTAGTAATTTTTTGCAAACATATTTTTTTTCGCTTGTGGAAAAAAACACTGTGATTTAGTATGCTAGTTTTTTAATTAGTTTTAAATTGAGTGCGTGTAAAGTAAATTGTGTCCGAGGCACATACTAGAAATGGAAAATGGAAACAAACACACACCCACACCTAATCGCATAATCAAGCAATTGTATGAAATTATGGTATAAATTGTATTTTGTTTGTATATTAACTAATTATATGTAATTAAATTTATTTAAATATACATAAACTGTACATGCAAAATGTAAGCAGAAATCTGTAAATTTGTTTAACTTAATTTTTGTATTTAAGTGCTTAATGCGCAGCAGAAGTTTGTGTTATTATGTTATAAGTTATAAAGATAATTTGTGTTTTTCGCTCCCGCTGCAAAAGTGAGTAGAAAAATCAGCATCAACGTGGAAGCTGTTTGCCAGACTGAAGCTAATTTCCGTTTGACCAGAATGAACGTGCCGACATTCAATCAGATAAGCAGATGGAAATGCTGGACGTGTACCTCTATTTTTTTTACTGGAAAACCTCACTTCAAATGACATTAAATAAGAGCGAGAATTCAAGGGCCAAAGATTTCAATTTAACAAATTTCGTGCACACCCGAATTGTTCTTTGTATGGCAGTTGAAGCATTTCCAAGAAGGAATTTCTATGTAAAACAGAGAGACTCCTGCGCACATGCAAACAGCAAGGCAGATATGTATCTCCAAAGCTACAAAGGTATAGACTTGTATAGACTTTCATTAGAACGCATCCTCCTGTGCGCAGTCAAAGTTCTCGCAAATAATAGATAAAGGCAGCAGCAGCATTTTTATTTAACATACAGCTGACATTTAATAGCTTTAAGCTGTGCCCACTTCAGTCCTCCAGCATGGACTTGCCCTTGGTTTCTTTAAGGAAATAAGCAAAGAAAATAAAACCAAATGCCGAGACGCCACCGCAAGACCACATGGTGGCCGAAATGCCCCACTGGCGCATGCAAATGGGAAAAATATTCAGCATGACAAACACAAAAGTGCTGCAAACGACAATTGCCATTGAGGCAGCCTTGGCACGGATCTGCAAGAAAATAGAACAAATCATTTAGATCAAAAGTTAGTTCGTTTTAATTGAGTTTCGTGGCCCACCTTGAGGGGAAATATTTCCACCAGACACACAAAGAAGCAGCCCACCAGCCCAATGTTGCCCAGAAAGATGTCCATGGACATGAGCGCCAGCGGCAGCCAGCTCCATTCACTCAGATCGTAGGACTGTGCGTAGTGTGTGAAGCAGCCAAAGGCGATGAGGCTGACAGCCACGCCAGCGGTGGAGACCAACATGAGCAGCTTCCTGCCACAAATATCGCAGAGCAGCGTCGTCACATAGCTGCCCAGGATCTGCACGGCTCCTATAATTATGGTGGAGGTATCGGGATTCATGGTGCTGCCGGACTTCGAGAATATATCAGACATATAGTTGACCATGGTGAAGAGGCCACTAAACTGATTGGCAATGAGCAAAACGAGCGCCGGACCATAGGCTCTGAGCGCGGGCCGTGAGACTGGAATTTAAAAAATTATTTCTAATCATTTTCGCAGCATTTCTCTCAACCTACAAAAGTCCTTCAGTGTGACAGCATCCTTGCGATCATCGCCTTTGGTTAGCGCCATCTTCATCTGCTCAAACTCCTCCATGGAGCGATGCTGTTCGATTATATTATCCCCATCCTTGATGTTCTTGTAGTACCTAAAAGATCTCTCAGCAGCTGCATACTTCCCTTTGCGTATCAAATGCATGGGCGACTCGCGTATAAAAAGCAGCACAGAAATAAAGTAGAACAAAGGAAGAACCAACACCATCCAGGGTATGTCATGATAGGCCAGATGAGTGCCCACAATGTAGCCACCCAGCACGCCCACATTCACTGAGAGCATGAGCATGGCCGAGAACGTACCGCGAATGCTGTAAGCGATTCATTTTCGATTAGTTTGGATGGGCCAAGTGCCTCTCGAACAGCCATGACAACAAGGCGCTCGGGCTAATCTTTTTGTTATCGTGAAGAAAGAAAACAATAAATCAACGGACTGTACACTCACTTGGCATCTGAGATTTCACTGAGAAAAATGGGATGAACAATGTACATGCCGCCGCCGGTGATGCCAGCCAGGAGTCTGCCCACATAAAGGTACTCCACACTCTGGGCAAAGTAAACCAAAAGCCACAGGCACTAGAACGACACACCATAAGTGAGTTTTTGTTAACGTTTCTTGTTCTTTTCTATAAATTACCGAGTGTGGTATGGCCAGGAAGAGCAAACATCTCTTGCTGCCCAAGCGTCCCAGCAGCGTGCCAATCAATATATTGCCCGTCACGGAGCCCACGCCCAGCATGGAGCCCACCCAGGAGATTTCGAACTCTGACTTCACCTCAAAGCCAATGGGGGAGTTGGACTGCAGCTTGCGCAGCGTCGGCGACAGCCAGCCAATGCCAATGCCATGCGAGACGGAAATCAAGTTTACTGCGGAAAGGTGGAACGTTGCAACTCTGCAATGATCGATAAAGCAGTGCACAGAAATACTTACTTATGAGGGTAGTCAGCAGCTGGTAGCGATTTCTGCGACTCAACAGACAATTGGGACGTGCAAAGAGTCTGCTGAACATTTTGAACAATTCTTAATAATATTTTAACTATAATATTTAACTATAATTTCCTAGTTCTTTATTAGCCTGTGGCTCGCTGATCACTGTACTGGGGGGACAATCAACTTAAGTATCTAACCGGGCATATCCTCTGGCCATAAAGATAAATTCTGTTCTTAGGCTTAGGCTTAATCTCACACAGGTGCGATGTCGCTCTCTCTCTCTTTCGCTCGCTCTCTCTCTCTCTGAGATAAGTTTGTTGGCTTTGACTGTAAATCAACTAAGACTCCAGTAGCGATTTGCCTCTGGTCTCCTCCAAGAAGAAGCTAAAGTAGAGAAAGCCGGAGAACGTAATCACACTGCAGCAGCACATGGTCACGGAAATGCCCCACACGGCCATGCAAATGGGAAAGATTTTGAGTGTGAGAAAAACTGTGGAGCTGAGTATGACCACAAAGGTGGAGACAGCAGCTGAACGGATCTAAAAGGAAAACGGATAATAAAAGATTATAATTGGCAAGGGTTGCGCGGACACTTACCTTAGCTGGAAACAGTTCCACGAGCACCACAAACAGACACCCAACCATGCCAATGTTGCACAGGAAAACATAGCAGGAGAGTATGACGAGGGGCAGCCAACCCACCACGGACAGATCGTGGCTGCCGGCAAAGTACGTGAAGCAGCCAAAGGTGGCCAAGCAGACAGCCGCACCGGAGGTGGAGATCAGCATTAGGATCCTCCTTCCATACTTATCGCACAGCAGCGTCGTCACATAGTTGCCCACAATTTGCAGCACGCCAATGATAATGGTGCACATGCCCACATCCAGTGTGGTGTGCGAGGCGGCAAAGATGTCCGACAGATAGGTGGTGACGCAGAAACTGCCACTGAATTGGTTGCAAATGAGCAGGGCCAAGGCTGAGGCATAGGCCTTCAAGGCGGGTTTGGTGACTGCAAGAAAGGTTGTCCTTGAGTTGTGTGGGAATTTATATTAACTCCTTTCTACTCACTGAAATCTCTGTAATTAAAGGACAAATCACTCTGCACCTGCGCTTTGTTCAGTGCAAACTTTAGCTCCTCAAACTCACTCGCCGCCTTGCTGTCTCCTCTCTTGGTGTTCTTGTAGAAACGGAAGGATTTCTCCGCTGCTGCAAGTTCACCCTTGCGTATGAGATGATGTGGCGTTTCCGGAAACAGGAAATTGCAAATAAAATAACAAATTGGCAGCGCAACAATAAAAGGTGGCGCTGTAAAGTAGGAAACAGACGTGGACACGATGTATCCTGTGAGCACGCCCGTGTTGACCGACAGCAAAATCATGGAGCCCAAACGACCGCGCACGCTGTGGGGGATTCGTAATTAAAGTTTAGCTTTTTTATTGCAACTAAAACACTCACTGGGTGTCCGCAATTTCGCTAATGAATGTGGGCAGAACGACATAGCAGGCGCCGCCAGTCATGCCAGCCATCAGACGACCCACATAGAGGTACTACACGCTCTGCACGAAGTAGATGAGGCACCAAAAGATCTGAAAAGAGAGTGTCATAGTACTTCGTATAGGACTCAATGGCTGCCACTCACCGTATAGGGTATGGCAATGCCGAACATGACCATTTTGCGCCCAATGCGATCTTGCAGGGTGCCCGCTAGTATATTGCCCATGACGCTGCCAATGCCCACGAGTGAACCAATCCAGGATATCTCATGCACGAGCACAGCAAAGTCGAGGGGAGACTTTGCAGTTTGCAGATCCCGCATCACTGGGGACATCCAGCCCACGCCCAGGCCATGCGAGAAGGTGGCAATGTTCACTGGGGGGGAAAGGGACAGACTCTGAGTAAATGTGTATCCCCAGCTCTAAAAGTTCCTTCTTGCTCACCCAGCAGCGTAACCAAAAACTGATACCGATTCCTGGCACTCAGCAGGCAATTGGGATCGTCAAAGAGCGACGCCAGCCGCAATTTAAACGTCATCGCAGCGATACAAACTCCAAACTGAATGCGAGTTGCGACTACAAAATGATCTTCCTTACCCTTTAATCTGTTTCGCCCAGTTTATCTCTCTGCAGCAGAGATACCATTTACAACACTCAACTCAAAAACACGCTTAGATAAAAATTCTGGTTTAATCTTCAATCATAGATTTTCCTTTGGTTTCGGGCAAAAACAGCAAAAAGTAAACAAATGTTAGCAAACCCGAAACGGCTGAGAACCACATGGTAATCGATATGCCCAAAAAGTGCAGGAACAATGGGAATAACTTCAACGTGCAAAAGACGAGGAGACTCAGGAATATAACGGAGATGGAGGTGGCCAAAGAGCGTATCTGAAAAGAGCAAAAAGTAACTGTAAAACAGAAGTCGGCAGCGTCGTAGGCGTTGTGCATAGAGAAAGATCGAGTGCAGCGCAGTCGGCACACGCCTCAGCGTAAAAGCTTCGTGTGGCCTCGGCACAGAGAATCGGCGCAGCGGCAGAGAAACAACTTCGTAGCGGCAGAGAAGCAAGAAACGTTTTCGACTTCGTTTCTGCTGTCTGTGCATAGAAACGCAGTTGACGCTGGCACACAAACACCATCTGAAAGCGAAGTTGAAAGCGGAGACGAAAAGTACATACAGACTGCACCAGTGCAAGCTTTTGCATTGCTGCTCAGCAGAGATGAAAGCTCCGCTTTCAGAAAGTGTGACTGTCAGCCCTATGTGAGTGCCTGTTGTAGAAACCTTACCTTCGATGGAAAAAGTTCCACCAACACCAGAAAGAAGATTCCGATAAGTCCAATATTTCCCAAGTACACAATGAGTACCATCAGCACCAGTGGCAGCCAATTGAACTCGCTGAGATCATAGATCCCCGCAAAGTGGGTGAAGCAACCAAAAGCGATGCAGCCCAGACCCACACCCAGGGTGGACATCAGCATGAGCAGTCGTCGTCCCACGATGTCCACGAATATCGTCGAGGTATAGACGCCCACAATTTGCACTACACCAATAATGATTGTGCAGGTGTTGACATCCAGCACTGAGCCAGATGAGGCGAATATGTCAGACATGTAGTTGATGAAGCTGAAGACGCCGCTGAACTGGTAGCCCATGCAGAGCACAGCCGCAGCACCAAAAGATTTCAGAGCGGGTTTGGTGACTAAAAGAAGAAGGAATTAGCAAGATATAAGGAAGAGCTGTAACTGTTACCATACTCAAATCTCTGTAACTCAAGGCTGTTGTTGTATTTTGCACCTGCTGAGCGAGCACTGCCGTGCGCAGCTCCTCAAATTTGCACTTGGATATGTCTGCCGCAGTTTCTTCACGCAGATTTCTATAATATCGGAAGGATTTCTCAGCTGCACTTAGTTGGCTGCGCTTCAGCAGATACGGTGGCGTTTCGGGCAGCAAGCAATTGGCTAAAAAGTAGGAAATTGGCAGCAAAATACCCAAAAAGGGCACAATGTGGTAGGGCAGATATGTGCTCAATATATAGCCAGCCAGAATGCCCAGGTTGACGGATAACATGACCATGGAGCTCAGGGCACCGCGAATGCTGCAGGATATTGGATATAGTTGGAGAAAAATAATTGTAAATGCAACAATAGTTACCTGGAATCGGCCACTTCACTGATGAAAATGGGAATGACCACATAGCCAGCGCCACCCGTAAAGCCGCACAGAAAACGCGCAGCATACAGGTAACCCACATGGGAGGCGCAGTAGATGAGAATCCACAGGCACTGTAAAAGCAAACACAATCCTTATGCTAATGGCACCAAAAAAATGTCTTAAAAATATAGAAAATTACGCACCGCATTTGGTATTGCCATTAGATAAATGCAAAACTTTCGACCAGCTCGTTCCAGCAGCAAAGCCATAATCAGATTGCCACACAAGCTGCCCAGACCGAGCATCGAGCCCAGCCAGGAAATCTCATCGATGTTCACAACAAAATCCAAAGGAGAGTTGGGTGATTGAATTTTCGTTAAAGTCGGTGACAGCCAGCCCACTCCAACACCATGGCCAAACATGATGATGTTTACTGTGCACAAAAATCCATTAATATATTATAAATAGCTTCCAAAGGGTATAGTCAGAGTTCTCACCGATGACTGTGGCCAACAGTTGATATCGTGTCTTGGGCTGCAGCAGCGAATTCTGAAATATTTTTGTCATATTTGCAGCTGGAAATGTCTTCCACTCGGGGGGGATTTCTGCGCGCGAATGCCAGACCCTCCTGCTTATAAATTACTTAAAAAAAAGCAAAAAGCTCACGGAATATTTCGACTGTATACTTTATGCCACGTTATATTCGAGATTATTGAGTCGGCTTACAACTGGCATCAGGTGTTAGGAGGAGCATCGTCCCTCCTCGAGTGCACACCCTAAAGATAAATTGAGAACAAATATGTCTCCGTGATGTACGCGCTGTGCTCAAACAAATAGATTAAGTTTGTCTAGATTAAGTTTGCCCAGCCAGCCGTGCGACAGGCATTTCACAAGTCAAACAATGAATTGCGATAAACACGAAGCGAAAATTCTTGGGGGGCTCGTCTGTAAAAGAAAGGAAATTCCTTCAAGTGGGCATTGTTCATGTACTTGGGAATAGTTTTGGTTTTCCTATAAGTAGACTATGATTTGTATAGAAATTAATTAGTGGCTGCTCTTGGAGAATCATTTCATCATCTTTCGACTAAATTACTTGTGTTCTGTTCAATAGGAAACAATTGAATACTCCAAGCTTTCAGTTGCAAATAAAACTAAAGTTTTCTTGGCCAGAAACTGTGCTTGAATTCAAGAAAAATAAGTTAAATACATATGTATTAATATACTCCTTTTGAAATACACTGGTTTCAGTGTGATATACCCTATTTACTCTTCGAGTACCGGGTATAAAAAGCTTGCTCAAACAGTAAGCCATTCCCAACCCCCAAAACGAAATGATAGAAGATAGAGGCTAAGTAACCAAGATAGAGAGAGAGGCCTCGAGGCGAGCGCCTCGACAACGAGATACCCGGTGGTCAATTTAAAGCGGTAAAGTCGTGTTTCTTGCATAGGAAAAGATCACGGGCAGCGCATTCGGCACTTGCATAGCGTAAAAGCTTCGTGTAGCTTCGGCCCATGCACTATTGCTTGATGCGGCGCGGCAGAGAAGCAAGAAACGTTTTTGGCATTAAATGCATTAAAGCATGTGAGTGCTGCGTGCCGACTTTTGTTTATACACATACTTACAAGAGCTTCTGAGTTCCTGTCAGCAGAGCGTGTCTAGCATCAGCAACGCCTTCACCTGTCCATCGGTATGTACATATGTGATGAAATATTTGTGTGCCTTGGTGGGTATATTTATATGCAAATATAATATCTATATATATATATCCTATTCGTTCCAAGAGCAAGCCAATCATGGAACCCAGCCAGGATATCTCATCGATGTTCACTGCAAAGTCCAGTTTTCGCTAGCGTCGGCGACAGCCAACCCACAGCAAAGCCATGGCCAAATGTAATGATGTTCACTGAAGAGAAATCTGTGTAATATTTTTGGTTCGAATTATGTGAATCCTCGACTTACCGATCACTGTGGCCAGCAGCTGGTAACGCGTTTTGCGCTGCAGCAGGGAATTCTGAAATATTTTTGTCATTTTTCTCCGTCTCCGGAGAATGTTTGCATAGAGTGTTTTGTTTTAAGTGCCAGTCCGCGAATATATAAGATCTCCGGTAAACAGACAAAGCTCCATGGATGATAGCTATATTTCCAAGCAAACAGATTAGGGGGGCTGTCTGGCTAGGTCTGGGGCCAGTGAACCTGAGATATTTGACAAAGCAAACATTCAATTGCTGTTCCAACTAACCCTTTGAAGAGGGAGGGGGTTAGAATTGCATGGAAAGTTTCTTACTTGATTTGCGCTTTTAAAGGATTGTCTCAGTGTTCGTGAAAACCTGTGTAATGTAGGTCGGGAAACAAGAGGATGATAGAGAAACCTTTTAGAAATATATTTTTATATTTTTAGCTGCCATAGTATGCCATAGAATATTAATACATCATCTGATCTAATTAAGGGTTTAACTTTGCCACAGCATATAAAATGTATAAATAAATAATTAAATAGTGCTTATTGGGATTGTATTGGGAATATAGCAATTAAAGCATTTGCTATGGAAGCCATTTAAGACGCGTTAATTAGTGCGAGTATTTCCCTGTAGTGGGTCTCCTATAAGTAGGCTACGTTTAATTTATAACCATCAAGCAGCAACCTCTATGAGCTTTTTAATAAAAATCCGACAGGCTTCCGTTTTACAGGACTACAACTGAATGGCAAACTGTGGAAATGAAATGCTTAAAGTTAAATGACAAATATTGCATTAGAATGCTGGGCCCTTGGGCAAAATTCACAAATTTGTAACAATACAGCGGATTTCATTGACACAATTGAGTGCAGTTAATTAGTTATTTACTGCTGTGTGTAAATTGGCCGGGGAAAAAGTTTTGGATTCAATTAGTTATGGAACAGTTTTAAGTTGTGCATAAATTATTTCATGAAACCAACTTTCGAGTACAATTTAGTTCCTAATCAAGTGCAAATGACCATAAAGAGCAGCATCCACACAAAGTTTCTTAATTGCCCAGAGACAACTATACGTTGAACGGTGGCGCCGCCATGTGCTTGATCCTTATCGCACGAGCTCTTATCTAATCAAAGAATTTCCCTATTTAAGCAGACAGCTGTGGAAGATCATGGCTACAAGACAGATAAATACAATTAAAGGCAACATTTATTCTATAAACTTTAATAAAAAAAACATTAACAAATCAGTTAAAATTAGTTGTAAGTAATACTAGAGGTTGGCCAGAATGGCTTCGTTTGTCTTGCCCTTGGTTTCAGGCACAAAAATGGCAATGAACAAAGCGGCACTAAAGGACATGCTGGCAAACATAAATACAGTGCCGTGCATGCCCAAAGATTCGGTGAAGAGGGGCATAAACTATGGGGAAATAATAAAGAAATAAAATTATAGAAATACTTTCTTCTTAGGTGTCCACTGACTCACCTTAATAGTCGCTGTGGAAATCACATAAAGCACCGATATGAGTATCATATTCGCCATGTTGCGTATTTTTGGCGGCAGCAGCTCCGCTATGACCAGAAAGGGTAACGTCAGCAATCCACTGGCAGCCAGCAGCAGCATAAATGAGAAGCCCGCAATGGGCACCCAACCGAAAGAGCTAACATCGTAGCCCAAAACCTTCAGGTAGCTGTAGCTGCCCATGGCACTCTGCCCGAGGCCAATGCCGACGGCTGAGACGAGCAGCAGGATCTTGCGACCGAGTCGCTCCACCAGCAACGTGGACGTGTAGGTGCCGAGCAGCTGTATGGAACCCACAATAATGGCAGACACTGCGGGTGCCAGACTGGCACCCGCCTGCTCGAATATCACAGCCGTGTAGTTGACCATCGCAAAGCAGCCGCACAATTGATTGAACGTCACGAGGCCCAGACCAATAAAAAAGGCTTTGCGGGCCTTGGCCTCAGCTAATAAGAGCCTAAAATTGAGCTAAATTCAGAGAGCTTTGTGTTCTGTTTTACTCACCAAAATCAGCCCAGGTGACAGCGTTCTCATTCTCCGCATTGTCAGCATCCTTGGCATCAAGATCTGTCTTTTCGCTGGGCTTCAGTTTCTCCAGCTCCAGCTTGAGATCTTCGCTGAGTTCTTTGGCGGGACTGAGGCGTATATTGCGATAATAACGCAGTGACTGTTCGGCCTCCTCCACGCGATTCTGCTTGGCCAGATACTGCGGCGTCTCGGGCATGAACCAGAAACAGCCCACAAACACAAAGGACAAGGTGGAGACTATCCAGGACACTGTGATATAGTCGAAAAAGTAGCCCAAAATGAAGGCCAAGACGACGCCACCATTGCAGGTGACTAGCAGATAAGTGCCCAGGATGCCGCGAACACTAAAAGGATGCTATAAATCCTCTGTGGGATATATATTTCCAGATGTTATCTCACCTATCCGATGCCAATTCTGCCACATAAATCGGTATCACCGCAAAGCAGCCACCGCCCGCCACGCCGCCAATGAAGCGTGCAATAATCAAGTGCGTTGGAGTGCTGGCATAAGGTATAATAATCCAACCAATCTATTAACGATAGAATAGATAACTCTATAGAAGCTTCTACTTCATCAATGCAACTCATAATTTATACCAAATTTGGCAGCGCCGTCCATAGCAGTGACCAGCGTCTGCCGATTTTATCCGCCAGCCAGGCATACAGAATGGTGCCGAACAGACCGCCTATGCAAATGGTTGAGGCCACCCAGCCCTGATCCTGATTGGACAGTGGACCCGTTTCCAGGGGACTATCCTCGCTGCCAAGTTCCAGAAAGCTGGCAGAGGGCCAGCCACAAAAGGCGCCATAGGATATGGTGACAATGTTAACTGGCAGGGAGAGGAAAAAACTTTATTTGAATATCCTTTCGTGCACCAAAACGTATGCTAGATCCCAGATCCAGTATTACAACACTCTCACGCACATTCACTTTGAATCTTTACTAACCACTTATGGCTGCCAGATACTGATTTTTAGTACTACCCGAGGAGCTCATTATTTACAGCTATTACTTTTCACTACTGATTAAATTATATTAAGTTTATATTAAATGCATGGCACGACGTATCCTCGTTTGCTCGATGGGCGTCGCTTGCCCCTAAGTTTTCACGCTTAACTAAGCGAAACCAGTGGCTGGATGATAATATTTATACACTGCATTAGAGATCGTAAACTGAACACGAGCGAACGAGAACGAGAACGAGAACGAACAAGCGAGCGAGCGGACCAAGTTGTAAAGAGAATGCGCGACAGGGAGCGCAAACTTTGTAGATTACGCGTACGACTCCTACCATGAGGGGTACGAGTATATGCCGTTATCAGTGCATCTCATTATGCTCACACGAAATGAGAGAACAGGCAGCGGCCCAAAGCCTATACTTAAACAATAGGCTATATAAAAAACTATTAAAATATTGCCCCTGGGGTGTGAATGTAAATTTGTTGTTGCTAACCCATTGCGGATTATTTACACTTACAATAAATATAATTGCAGTGAGTGCCATTTTTTTATTGCCCATTTTTACTGATTTGATATGCGTTCGACAATGCCATTGCCGTTATAATGAGAGAGCGGAAGAGTGAGAGAGGGACCGCTAAGGTCAGTAACAGCGAGCCAAGCAAGGTGGTGTTTTCCTCTCTTTCCTACCGAATCGCAGCGAAGTTTGCAGTTGAATTTGCGGTAAATTAAGCACCGAAGAGAGAGCGCGTTGCAGTATACACCACCTTGCGTAATTTCATCTTGAGCACACAACAAAGCGATAGAGAGTGCGATTACCCATTGCTATTGTAAATTACATACTAATAAGTCGCAAATATTTGCCACTGTCCCCAGATACCCAAGGCAAACAGACGTCCGTCGCAAATTTTTCGACAGTCTCTCTCTCTCTCTCGTTCTCACTCTGCACTCAACGCATTAAAAGCGTAAATTTGGATTACTCTTCGGCAAGCTTAGGCTGCCGCGTGCAGAAAGCAGGTAGCTGGCTGTTGAGGCTGAGCATGAGGGTGGGTACAGGTCGTGCCAAAAGCATGCAACCGAACAGAAAACGAAAGTGAAATGTGAATGTGTTTGCAGCAGTATCATTTCTTGGATATGAAATCTACCATCGTAAAGATATTTCGCATTTTTTAGAAAACTTCTTACAGTGTAGATTTGAGGCAGTTGAAAGATATCAAAGCGTGTATACGCGCTCCCACGTAGATGCCAACATTGTGTAATACTAACGTTCTAGACTTTTGTTTTTGGCTAATCACTAATTAAAAAGCAATTCGAGTAACATTTATCTGGTCCCCATGACTACTACCCCTGGGTAGAGCCCCATGCCAGATAAGATTTATATGAGATGTAAACATACAAGCAAACATACTTGAGAGAGTGTAGGCGACTCTCTTCGCCGAGCGCCAGTCGAGTGGTTCAGATAAGCAAACCGTTTCCTTTTACCGGAATCAACTCAATGGATGAATGAGTAAGAATTATTTAACAGTTATTTCGTGAAAATGAATTGCATACTTTTTGTAAAATTCGATATTTAATTTAACATTCTTATTACTATTAAACTTACTAAACTAGTTAAACTAGCAGTTGCACTCACACACACATGCGTACGCCTTAAATGTGTGTGGAAATGTGATGGCCATTGGCTATGGCCGAGCCCTTGGCCACATCCCCGTCGTCCACATAGCCGAGTTGGCGTTGCACGGACGATTTACGCCGGTTGCGCGTCTCGGGCAGCAGGGGCAACGATATTAAACCCACAAATATGGAGGCACCGGCAAAAACCCACAAGTACAGCACAAGGCCAGGAGCAATTGAGGTCTTGACCGCATTGAACGCCTGCAAACACATAGAAGAAATTGGAAGCATAATTAGTATGCATTAGTATGCACGTTTCTGTGGCAACACTCACCTCAATCATGCCGAAAAGCAGCAGCCAGGAGAAGGCCGAGGCCAGCGAGTACAACACATCGTGCAGCTGTGCCAAGTATAAGGGAAATTAGGACTTTCGATGAAGACTGCCTTGAGGGCCGAGACTTACCTTTGTGGGCAGCACTTCGCTGCTGACAACCGCCGCCAGTGGGTACAGACCAAAGCTGACAAACAATAGTTGGAGGGCCAGCAGGAAAATGGGCAGATAACGCTCACACCACACATTGCCCAAGAGCCAATCGCGGCCAAACTGCTTGAACAGGGCCAGGGCGATCACCGCCCCAGCAGACATCAGCGAGGAGAGGCAAAGGAGGAGCTAAAATATCGGGAGAAAGAGAGTCAGAAAGAGAGAGAGAGAGAGAGGCTGAGAGGCAGTTAGCAAACCTTTCGCGGCAGCCCAGGACCAGCGACACGTGCCAGCAGCGCACCCACACATTGTGCACCAGCCAGCAGCACGTAATTCGTCTCCATGGAGTAGCCAGTGCGTCCCAGGAAATCCGCGGCATAGTTAAGCTCCACAAAGACGCCGCTCAGCTTGGCGCAGACGGTGAGCAGAAAGCTGACAAAGATCAGGCGCACAATGTAGCTCTGGGGCATGGGCGCGGTGCCAATGTTCTTGCCCAGGCACTGCATCTCGGCCTTGAATTCCTCCAACTCCCCCACATACTCGGGCTTCTCCCGATCGTCCATGTCGCGAATGCCGCGATACCAGCGCAGGGACTTCTCCAGGCAGGCCACATTCTCGTTGCGCATATAAAAGTGCGGACTCTCCTGGACAAAGGGGAAGCTCATCGTAAACACAAAGGACACAGCACAGCCGAAAATGTTGACCAGGTCGTAGGGCACATAGAAGCCAAGGACAATGCCCAGCAGGATGCCCGTGGTGCGCCACAGTTCGATGGTGAAGGTGAGCCGTGCGGCCTTCTCGCGCGTCTCCGAAATTTCGTTAATGAAGATGGGCAGAACGACAAAAGCGGCGCCAGCTGCCACACCGGAAAACATGCGTGAGGCATAAATGTGCACAATGTCGAAGCCAAAGTGGATGCAAAACCAACCGAACTGGAAGTGGAAGTCGAGACTCTAATCGCTTAATAAACTCAATTTCTGGACTCACAATTTGCAGCATTCCGGAGCAGAGCAGCACGGACTTGGGTCCGATGCGCAGGGCCAAAACACCAGAAATTAAAGCTCCAATTGCCGCACTTAGGAAGAGATATCCCGTCAGCCAGGCCGTGCCCGATGGATCCGTGGCCTTGTTTAGCGGCGTTTTGGTCTCCGACTCGTAGAGGGACATGTGAGCCGGTGTAATGCCAAACATGAGCCCAAAATTGAAGCAAAGCAGGTTGCCTGAGTGGGGGGGAGAGCAGTGCATAGCACACCTGGGGGTAAGTGGTTGACAGAGTGCAGCATGGCAGCCTTCCTCGGCACTCACCAATGGCTGTGGCAACGCTCTGTATGGCCAGGCCACCGACATTCGTGGGTAGGCACATGATGATGATGATTCAGCTGCTGCAGGCTGCCAGGGCCAATTCCAGTTTCAGTTCCTTTTTGTGCTGGTTTTCCCGAACCCAATAATCCTGCAACGCACTGCCACACGTTAGCTACAATGAGAATCGGTGAATGGATGCTGTGCGGGTATTTATGGCCATGGGGATAATGGCTGTTATCTTTTATCTGTTATCTGTTATCTTAACGTGGCAACAGATAAGAGCGCGTACCCAGAAAAACGGAGAAAACGTTGCTGCCCGCAGCGTTATGCGCAACCCAATTGAACCCAGTCGGGCAGACAACCGTGACCGGAGCGGTGTATCCCACTTGTTTATGTTCAAAAGTGAGCAATAGTATCTCTATGCAGGCATATATTTGCCCAACGTGAGTCCACACAACACAATGATTCGGTTCAGATAAGATGTGAAAACTGTCTGCGGCCTGCTGTCTGTCCCGGCCGATGATGAGGCAATCCAAGACGGATGCGATCGGATGTCGGGCTCGAGGCTGCGCTAGGGTAACTCACAGCGACAAACAGTTTTGTTAATTGAAATGCGAATAACACATGGAAATCAATTAAAAGCAATTGTAGAGCAATTGAGCGGGCAAACGAAAAAACGATCAGCTGCAGGGCTTGTGTTTCCAAATGCAATTGATTACTTTTTATTTTTGAAAATTAACAGACAGTCCGCTTACCTACTCGATACTATATCGATATAGTGGTGCCGATAGCACTAGCTACGATCTCAGACACACCACCAAAGCTGGCTGCTATGAAACGGTGGACAGCTGTAGCTTTTTAGTGTTTTTTGCTTTTAACTCTTTGTATGTTCAAACAAGAACACTGTGATATATCTTTATCAGCTTTCAAAAAATGTTTATCACAAAATCGCCAAATCCATTCGATACCATACCGACACGCACGTATCGATATCGATTGCTACGATCGCAGCCATACCATAGCTGATTGCTTTAAAACGATAAACAGCTGCAGCCCGGAAATTTTGTTTGTAAATTGTCTTAAATTGTTTGCGTGTTTAAGCCATAGCAAGAAAAATGGCAAACGGCAAACCTGAAGAATGGGTAGACATTTTTGCAGCAAACGAAGTCATTTGGGTGTCCGTGTTACACGGTGCCCGGGAAAAACAGAATGCCTGGCGCACACAAGGCTTAGTGCTGGGCCAAGCAACGAGGTAAATTGTGGACAAAAACGAACGCGGCCATGAATTAACATTTCCTCCAATTTTAGGCACATGGATGATACAATCCACTATGCAGTAAACAAAGAGCACTTGGAAAAACGGGAACGCGACAGGAGCACAGAGGAAATCCTTAAGCAGCGCGTGCAGCGCTGCCTACAGACAATTAACGAGAGTCGTCGCCGTAGCACCGGAAAACCCATGGAGTTTAAAATGCCGTCGCCCAGCTCATTTGAGCCTAGTTGCCATGGCTGCTATGAGAGCTGCAAGTACGATGAATTAAGTTTAAGCGATTTGCAAAAATTACGATTTGGGGGAGCTAATGAAAATGTGACGCGTAATCCAATCCCACGCAATGCAGCCACAGGACCGACAGAAGCTGCCGATAGTCGTGTCAGCGGCAGACAAGTTCAGACTGCCGCAGTGGAATCGAATCCGAATTGGTTGGGCTTTCGCACTGCACGCGAACAACAAGAATTGGATGATCTAAAGGTATGCCTTTGGCTGTGCCATCGATGAAACATTTTGTTCAAGCGTACTTTTTCTGTTGCAGAAAAATAAACCCCATGGTGTCAGCTTGCAGCCAACGGCCGCGCCAGCCGATTTAATGAATTACAGAAAGAAAAAACTCGGTGGACGCCGCACTGTTCACTCAAACTATGTGCCGCCCATGGAGCAAGGGCAGGGGCAACATGAAACCCACAGCACTGGGTGAGAGAGAAGAATTTGCACATGTCAAAATATTTGTATTAATTCCTGTGCCACAGCAGCTCCAATGGCAGCGACACTCCAGCCTCGCTGTCACATCTCGACGCGCAAATGGTCGAGCAAATAATGGGCGAGAGTCTGCAAAATTCCAAGAATGTCGGCAAGTGTATATCCCATGCGTGTTTTCGAGTGTAGGAATTTGAATATTCGATTAAATTGTAGCCTGGGAGGATATTGCCGGCTTGGAATCGGCAAAAACCGCATTCATGGAGGCCATCATACTACCGCTGCGACGTCCCGATTTGTTCACTGGCGTACGCTCGCCCCCACGTGGTGTGCTGCTGTTTGGTCCGCCCGGCACCGGCAAGACACTAATTGCTAAAAGTATTGCCTCGCAGGCCAAGGCCAAGTTCTTTGGCATCAAGCCCTCCACACTCACCTCCAAGTGGGTGGGCGAGGCCGAGAAGCTGGTAAAGACTTTGTTTGCCGTCGCCATTGTCCATCAGCCTGCAGTGAGTTGAATAAATTCCCTGAATTGATGCTTTATTAATCCCCGAACTGCACTTGGCAGATAATCTTTATCGATGAGGTTGACTCTCTGCTTTCGAAGCGTTCGGGCAACGAGAACGAGAGCACATTGCGCCTGAAGAATGAGTTCCTGATACATTTGGATGGCGCTGCCACCAACGATGAGCAACAGATACTGGTAATCGGTGCCACGAATCGTCCCCAGGAGCTCGATGAGGCTGTGCGTCGACGCTTTGTGCGCCGCTTGTACGTGCCACTGCCCACCAAGGAGGCGCGACAGCAAATCATTGAAAAGATAATCGCACAAGTGACGCACAGTCTTAGCTCAGCGGAGTTCAGCGAGCTGGCCTCGCTCACGGATGGCTATTCGGGCGCTGATGTGGACAGTCTGTGTCGCTATGCATTAAGGGCGCCACTGCGTTCGCTTAGCCTTGCACAAATGGAGACGGTGCAGCTGCATGAGGTAATACTTACAGCGATTTCTCCTCCTAGATTTACTTACAGCTAGAGTTTGTTTCATTTTGCAGCTGCCTGCCGTCACCATGGAGGACTTTAAGCAGTCGCTGAAAGTAATTTCCAAAAGTGTTTCGCAGGAGGATTGCCAACGTTTCGATGAATGGAATGCATTGTATGGCAACAGACACTGAAATGAAGAGTGCAAAGCAGACTCGTTCCAAATGTTTAAGTATTTCCTTAGTTTCTTGAGTTTTCTTGCTATTATTTTGCTTTTAATAATACTCTGGAAAGTATGCATAAACACGAAGTAAGAACTATTGATTAAATGTACAACGAATTTTAATTAAAAACGAGGAGGAACGCTATGAGACGCTGGAACGCGTCACAATTTTATAACCGGTACATAATGTAATGTAGTGTAATGCTATGTAATTGTACATTTTACATTGTCAGCTACATAATCAAGTACATCACTTCTCTCGCTGCTGGAAAGGGGTGGGAGTTAGGCACTGGACGTACATTTTGTTATTCTGGCTAAAACAATGATCCGATCTGCACATAATTCGGGGATCTGATAGATATGGGGATTATCCACGGAACTGTGTTTTTATTTTTCTTCTATCTTGAAAATCGTGGATGCAGTAGATTTTCGCTCTTTTGTGTGTGCGGAAGAGGGCGACACGAAATTTGAAACACACTTGTAACAGTGTGATATCACAGCAATGTCGATGCAAAATTTGGTTGCTGTTGCTTTTACAGTCTCTGATATATAGGCGCTCACCGAGACGAACGGACAGACAGACGCTTGATGCTAATCAAGAATAATATAGACTTTATGGGGTTGGCAACGTTTCCTATTTACTCTTCGAGTAACGGGTATAATTGGCTCCGTTTCTTTTGTTTGTTGGTTGAAAAACTCACAGCACATCGAAATTACGGTCGTATACTTAGGAAGTCCGACACTTGCTTCGCTCTTAATTAACTAACTAACTATTTACAGAAGTTTAACGAGTGAACAATGCAAACTTTTCCTTATACCTAGAGCCAGACAGCTAGACAGGAGATGTTTATGGCTACAATTTATAGGAAAAACCTTTTCACATTCATTCATTAATATAGGAATAAAACTGGCTAAACTACACTTACTAACTAACTAGTTAGGGGAACTTAAGGACTATCCTTATTCTCTTTAATCGGCGGAAATACGTAATCATCACTCAGACTGTTGATGTCCACATATGTGGTCTTTGGGCTCAACACCCTGTACAGGGCATCGAATGTTGGTCGCTCCTCGGGCTCCTCCAGCCAACACTGCAGCATTATCGTGTACACTTGTGGCGTGCAAATGTCCGGCCGCTGCAACCGATTGCCCGCTAGGAGGAATGGTATAAGCTCGCTGTTGCTTATCGTTGGATAGGGTGAGGCGCCGAGCGTGCCAATTTCCCACAGCACCACGCCATACGCCCAAATGTCACTCTTGCTCGAGTACACATTGTCTCGTATGGCCTCGATGGAGAGCCAGCGCAGTGGCAGCTACACGCAGGATGCAGGATACAGGATACAGTAGGGAAGATACATGCATGCAGGATGTGTGTATAATTGTGTGGAATAAAATGCTCACCTTGCGCGTTTTTGTGTTCGTGTAAATGCCATGCCGGGACAGACCGAAATCGGATATTTTTAAGGTCTTGTTATTGTCAATTAGCACATTGCGAGCAGCCAGATCGCTGTAATGTTGTCAAGGATTAAAAACCGAGCTTAAGCGTTAAACGAAATGCCCCTGCCCACCCACTCTTACCGGTGTGTAATCTCCTGTTCTTCGAGGAAACGCATGCCGTTTGCTATCTGCAAGGCAAAGTTGTGCAATTCTCTGTTGTCGAGGATGTACTCAAAGGGCTCCTCATCCTCCACAATCGTATACGTTGCTGAAAGTGCACACAAGACAAACAAACAAACAAACAATGAAGTATCCTGCTTGTGCATAAATCGGTATAACTTACTTTCGGCATACGAGGGTATGGGCTGCCGTCCAGCAGTCGGACCCAAACCATTCGCAGTGGAGTTCTCAGAGCTTTGCAGCTCTATGCTCTGGCTGGATGCCTTCAATTCGATATAGTTGACGCTCTGCGATTTGGGTAGTCCAGCTG